ATAGATTTTCTTGGTGAAAGGACGTCTTTGACTCCCATTCCAAAATATGGCTCCAGTCGAACTAATTAAATTTCTTCAGGAAATTTATTTCCTACTTTTAATTCCATTCAGACGTCGAAATTAAGAGCCACCAAATTGCCCCCCAAAAATGTCATTTTTGATATCAATGAAGAAAAATATATTTTTTGATAGTATCATTCGACGCCTCGAATGACTTTTTCATATTTTTGATGTCTCTTACTATTCCAAAAACTCATGATGTCATGATCATCATAGCACTTTCTGAAAAACATCTCATCAAAGCATGCCACAATCTCTAGCCGTCATCACGACTCCTAGATCCTAGGAAGTCATGCACTAGGCATTAACTGCCCACGTTTCATCAAACGCCCCTTGTAGGACACGCGTCCCATTAACTATCGGCTCTTTAATGCTGATTTGAGGTCCTTTGAACTCCCACGAGCTTATAAATTGTTCCAAACTTAACCATTTTAGCTTTTACACTCCCAAAAATTCTTCAAACACTCTCCTTCCCTCTACACTTTCCAAACTTCCCAGAGCATTGCAGAATGGGAGAGACAAATTGTCATTTTACAAAACAAACTCTCTCAAGCCAAGCAACGTAAAACTAATATGCTCCGCTCTGTCAAAGATGAAGTGGAAAAAGAGATCTAGGCTGGCCTTCAACATCTTGAAAAAGCTCAAAAACTTGGGAAAGAAATTGAAGCTCTCTCTTCCCTTCTAAAATTGTTCTGTAGCATTTTTCCTTCTTTTGCAAATCAAGACTTTTGGCCCTTTATGGCCTTTTTCTGTAACGAATTAAGCCATTTTGGCACATTTATTTACCATATTAGAGTTATTTTTCTCGTATGATTATTCTTTAGTTATCTTTACCTCTTGAAGTGCAGGCTTATATTTTTTCAAATATTTCCCTTTTACCTTCAAGATTCTTTTATCTTTATCTAATTCTTCAATCTCATATGCGCCATTAAAAAAGACTTGTATAACTTGAAAAGGGCATTCCCATTTAGGGGAACATTTACCTAGGGCTCTATCTTTTCGATCCATAGGAAAAATTACTTTCCAAACCAATTCTTTTGGCGAAAACATTTTAACCTTAACTTTCTTGTTATACGATTTCTCTATTCTTTTCTTCTACCTTCTTAACAATTCCAAGGCATTAAGCCTTTCTTCATCAAATCAACCAACTCGTCCAACATCATGTTCCAATATGATTCTGATGGAATCTCATGGTACCTTCGGATCCTCGTTGACTGTAAGTATATTTCCAATGGCAACACTGCATCATGGCCAAATGTTAATCAAAACGGAGTTGCGTTGGTCGATTCTTTGGGAGAGGTTCGACATGTCCAAAGCACTTGATCCAAAGTCTTGTGCCAATTTCTAGGCTTCTTTCCCATATGCTTCTTGATTAGACCTATCACTATTTTTTTTGCTGCTTCGACCTGATCGTTAGCCTAAGCATAATAGGGCGTGGAAGTCAACAATTTGAAACCCATTTCCTTGGTGAAATCTTGTATCTTTCGATCAATAAAAACTGATTTTTGATTCGTTGTAATGGTTTCTAGGATTCCAAATCTATAAATGATATGTTTTTTGATGAATTCGATTACATCTTCTTGGTCGACATTTGGTAAAGGTATAACTTAGATCTATTTTGTAAAATAGTCAATACCTACCAAAATGTACCTTTGATTTTTGGATGATGCTGGTCGAATTTCTCCAACCAAATCCAAAGCCCAGCCCCTAAAGGGACATGGTTTAACTATGGAATGTAATTCACTCGCAGGAACATGTTGAATACCTGCGTATACTTGGCACTCTTGGCACCCTTTAGCGAATTCGATACAACCTTTTAATATGGCGGGCCAATACATGCCTTGTCGAAACAACTACTATTTCATCTTATGGCCTACCTGGTGTGCCCCACATTCCCCACTATGGACAGTCGAAAGAGCTAAATATGCCTCTAATTCACTAAGGCACTTAAGTAAAACTCCCTCAGGAGTCTTTTTAAATAACTCATTCCCCAAAAGAACATAACTTAAAGCACGACACCTGATTTTTTGCTCTATGAATGTCGTCGGATTTTATAGATACTCCACTATTGGTTTCCTCCAATCTCCATCCATCAAGCTATCTATTTCGAGGATTTAAAAATTCTCTTTATCAGGGTACCCTAGCTTTGTCGTTTCCAAAGCTGATGGGAACAATCTGGCTAACACAACTCTTCCTCTGACTTTGACTGCATCTTGTAATTTTTCTTTCGAGATTTTATACCCTGAAGCAATCTGGGCCAAATCATTAGCCACTTGATTCTTCAATCGAGGTGTGTGTCGAATACTAACCATTTCAAACCTTTTCAGTAATCGATTGGCTATTACAAAGTACATAATAAGATTTTCTTTAACACATTTGTACTCTTTTGTAATTTGTTTTACGACTAACTCTGAGTCTCCCAGTATTTCGACTCGAGTTGCCGCCAATTCCAACAACATCTCAAGTCTGGCTCTCATTATTCGAACAGAGACCTTCAACTTTATACTTGAATCTTGTTGGAATTTTGTCAGGAGAAATGATCAACACTCCTACACCGGCTCCATCTCTATGACTAGAGCCATCAAAATATAATTTCCAAGGCTCAAGTTCGAGATAGGTTATGTTATTTTCATTTATTGAGTGGTCGACTATAAAGTCTGCTACCACTTGTCCTTTAACAACCTTTAAAGGCATATATGTTAAGGAATATTCAGTCAAAGCTAACGCCCATTTACCAATTCAACTATGCAAAATTGGTTTGGACAACGTATGTTTAATGATATCCAAATGGAACAAAACATAAACTGGTTTTATATAATACTTTAACTTTGTACAAGAGAAATACAAGCATAAACACAATTTTTCAACTATGTTATACCTAGTTTATGCATCATTTAAAACTCTACTAAGGTAGTAAATGGCTCTTTCGACACCATTTTCTTCCTCTTGAGCCAACATGCTCCCTAAGGTTTTAACGCAGATATATATAACCTCGTGCTCCTATTCCTACAAGGTGGTGACAGAATTAGAGGATGACTCAAGTAATCCTCGATTTTGTCGAATGCTTCTTGCTAAGGTTTCCCCCATTTGAACCCTTCCTTGTTAGGTCGAAGCAGAGGTGAAAAGGCTTGAGTCTTTCCGCTGAGATTCGATATGAATCTCCTTAAGAAGTTAATCTTGTCCATTAGTGATTGTAATTCCTTCTTTGTCGATGGAGCTTTCGCCTCCATTATGGCCTTGGCCATATTCTGGTTTATTTCGATTCCCTTTTTGTGGACCATAAAGCCTAAAAAATATCCCGCCTGCACACAAAAAGTACATTTGAGAGGATTCATTTTTAGACCATGCCTTCTCATCCTTTTGAAAGATTGTCGAAGATGGTCAATATGATTCTTCCTTGAGGTAGACTGAATAACAATATCATCAATGTATATTTGCATATAAGTCTCTATATAATCATGGAAGATCGAATTCATTGTCTTTGATACGTTGCCCCAGCATTTTTTAAACCAAAAGGCATCATTACCCATTTGTAAGTGCCTAAGGCCCCAGGGCATCAAAAGGCTGTGTTCGAGACATCCTCTTCAACAATAAAAATTTGATTATATCTCGAATACCCATCAAGCATACTAAGATATTTGTGACCTGCGGCAAAATCGACTAACATTTCCACCATAGGCATTGAATATTCGTCTTTTAGAGTTGCAGCATTTAAATCTCTAAAATCTATGCATACCCTCAAAGAACCATTCTTTTTAATAACATGCACAATATTTGCTAACCATTTAAATCTTTAAAATCTATGCATACCCCCCAAGATCAGTTGTCCCTCGTCACATGCCTGTCATGCACGATTTCACCATCCAGAAACAATCACGACGCCCGCGACCATGCATTTTCCCGTTCCTACGGCTAGTTTTTGGCAGTTACCTATTCTTTAGGGGGGCGGTTATCTCGCCCCGAAAATAGGGACCAATGATCAAGCGTTGGGGGAACTATAAAAACCCTCTCAATTGAGATGGTCAGGTACTCTACCTCATTCCACTTCACCCTAAGACATACACTTTTTGTACAACAATAAGTGTATACAACAATAAAAAATAGGTCCTTTTAACAAATGACCTACAAATCAAATATGAAAATTAGATACTTTATGCAAGGCAAAAATACTGTCTAGGTCCTTAAGTTATTTTAAAATATCAAATAAATCCTTTAATTTCTTTTGTAACGCTTTAGTCCTATATATTAAGTAATGTTTGCATCGTTGATATTTTTAAAAACTTTCGTTACAATAAATTGCAAACTCATATACCATTTGCACTGCTTTTCCGCGCTGATCACGAATTTACAATCAAATTTATTAAACAAGTTACTGTTCATAAGAATCAAGAAAAAAATGGACAAATACATAATGAAAAATCGTTCGATCCGACCAAAATACATAATCAAACGCAAATTTAATTACATATTCGTGATCAGTGCAAAAAACCAGTTCAAATAATATACGGGTTTGCAATTTAGTGTAACGGAGATTTAAATAAAAGTCAACGACGTAAACATTACTTAACATAAAAGATCAAAGCGTTAAAAAAAAACTTAAAGGACTAACTTGATATTTTAAAATAACTTAAAAAATTAAAATAGTATTTTTAATTTTATGCAATCAAACCTTCAAGATACCATTTTATTCATAGTATTTGATAAAATAAGAAATTTGTGAGTCTTGGATGTTCCTTGAAATATTTCAAAATTAAAAAGTTACAAACTTCACTTCACACATTTGATGTAAAGAAAGTACGTTACTTAATAAAATTTACTATCACTCAATAACTACTTCAACTTCAAAAAGATACATTTGATGGAAAGGAAATAGTGTGACTACATAGTTAATGTTTCTTCACTCAAAATAACAGCTTCAAACAGATACATTAACAGCCCAATTAGAAAACATGAACATTGAAAACTAAATCTTCTTTGTTTATCAGTTCGAAGACGCAAACATCTCCTGGTTGCACTCCACTTTCCCTTGCAAAAGACGACCAACCAGCCGAAAGACGACGGGCGCTGCTATTATTGTAACAAGGAAGCAATTTCAGATTCCATGATCTTTTACCAATCTTCACTTTCACATTCATCGTCTTGTCCTCAATAATCCCTTTAAAATTTGGTACTTTCTGCGTTGTACAGTATATATAATTTTATCATCAATCACTATCACTATAATTTATAACCACAACATCACAAAATAAATAACATGCATAGCATTGCATGAATACTGTACCGGACGATCTGTTGTCAGGCAAGCAGAGTTGATCAAAACTGTGAAAAAGGGATTGCTTGAGATAAATTCTTGAGCTACTTGCCGAGCTCTAGCTCCAACTGGCCTATTCAATGATGTAGTTCTTTGACTAATATGCTGAATCTCACCTGCACATATATGTGGAATATAAAACAAAAACTGCACTCTAATATACCACAGAAGGTGCATGGCAAAGTAAGAATATAACACAAAATGAAATCCACATACCTCTAACTTTTTTATGTGGTCTAGGAGAAGCTAATGTTGATCTCTGTCTAGGCTTCTTCTCATTATGCCATTCATTCAAAATCTCAACTGATTCATCATCACTATCATCATCATTTAAAATCTCAACTGATTCATCATCACTATGATCAAGATTGTCGGTCACATCAAGAGTGCCATATGAAGAATCATAGTCAATTTCTAATGCATGCTGGCCAAGTATGATTACATCTAACTCTGGAGTTCTTTCTTTATATTTAAACACTACCAAACAACCATGTTGAAGAGAGTAATATCGAGTAAAGGTTTTCCAACCTTTTTGAAACCAAATGTCACCATTGATGTTTTTCCAAAACACTTTCCATTTAGTGCCATCAGGAGGGTTGATCATCACTGGATTTGGTAGAGCAGCACCGTGTTTTCTTGTAAACTTGTTTGGTATTTTCTGTAAAATATATATATTACTATTAGAAGCAATATACATAACTTATGTGTAGAAATATACTAAAGTAGTAGACAGTTGTAGAGAGTAGTAGTAAATTAAGAAGAAAGGTTACAATAGTTTGAAGATTGGTTTGAAGAATAATCTTGAAGAAACAGATGGGAAGGTTTGATTTTCCTCTACCATGCATGGATGATGAAGTATGATGAGTTAATAGAGAGTTTAGAAGATAATGTGTGAGCCACACTTTCTATACTAATAATAACGCTAAGAGTTTAAAAGCATGCGCTTCAATTTCTTGAATGACCAGTGATATATTTTGGTCAGAGTTGCAAGCAAAGTTCTTCCTTTATTTATGGTTATGGTTAACCTACCTACCTAATTTCATTATTACATCTCTTGTGCGTCTTTTCATACTTCATCTTCATTTATCTATTTTTAAAGAAAACATACCTCGGAGAAATGATTTTTCTAATATTATTATTAATTCAAGTTAACTGAGGATGATTTTACAATTGTTGTCAATAAGTTATAAAACTTTATTCAGGTTTAAATTTGGAATTTTGCAATTCTATGTGTGTGCTTTAGAGATCTTTATCATTTCATTTGCCAATTAAAATAATTAAACTCATCTTACCTAGGTTTTGAGCAACCTTTACACACACATAGAATACACTAATAAAATAAATTAATGAAATATAAAAAATTAGTTAATAAAATAATAAAATTATTTAATAAATGTCAAAATATTAAAAATAATTTTTAATAATGAATTAAAGTTGATTAATAAAAAATTAGTTAATTAAGTTATAAAATTGATTAATAAAAAATAAAAAAATTAGTTAATTAAGTTATAAAATTGGTTAATAAACGTTCAAATATTAAAAATAATTTTAAAAAGTCACCAAAATTAATTAATACAATATAAAATATTAGTTAATAAAATTATAAAATTGATTAATTATATAATTTATTATAATATTTTTTGATAAATATTTTTTTATAAATATTATTATAATATTTTACTATTTATCATATTGATCAACAATAAAATATGGTATAAGTTTATAGTATACATCTACTTAACTTATGGGATATAGACTTATACCAGGTGATTTCTAAATTAGTTGAACATTGTATTTGGTTTAATAGTTCCTTAATTTAATTTAATGTTTTATTTTAATTTTTTAATTAAAAGTATTATAAATTGGTTTCTTAATTTCATATTTATTATCTTATTTGGTTCCTTCCATATATTTCTAACAAAAATAATTTGGTGTGATAACAAAGTTATTCGTACAAATTTATATATGTAACTAAAAACTCATATACAGTTTAAATTGCGGAGTTCTCCGAAAACAAAACTTTCTTTAAACACTCTAATATCAATTTTTAATTATATATGCTTTTGTATCAATGATATTATTGTCATATTATCAGAACTTAACTTTTTTTGTCAGAAATTGACGGAAATAAATTATAGAAATAAAGTTAAAAGACTGAAGTTTTTAAATTAAAAAATTAAAATTAAACATTAACTTAATTTGTGACTAATTATACCTAGATTGAATTTGTAATGATTAATAAAATTAGTGTTGAAATAACTTACAAATATAAAATGATAAAAGAAAATATGTTTAACAAAATCTTTTTAATTAAGATAAGGAGATAATTTGAGAGGAAAAGTATTACCACATTATAAGTAATTTGAACGCTTATCAAAATAATATTGTTAAACTATAAATAATTTGAACGCTTATAAATAATTTGAAAATTATTACTAATATATTTGCTTAGAATATATCATTACAAAACTTCATTACACATTATCTAATATTATATTTAAATAATTTGAACGTTTATCAAAATAATATTATTAGATTATAAATAATTTGAACGCTTATAAATAATTTGAAAATTATTACTATATATTTGCTTAGAATATATCATTACAAACTTCACTATACATTATCTAATGTTATATTTAGTGGTCATTAAATGAAGTTAGGCTTGTTAGGTGACTTTCACATATTTGCAATTGATACAGGATGAGATATGAAATTTGACACCGGTAGAAATCAAGAGTTTGGTTTAAGTAAATCGAAAAGTTTGAAGGAGTTTAAAGGTATATGTCACGAGCCACATACGTAATTGACTGATTCGTGGAGAACGTGATTACAATATTGAAACTGAATGAAAGAAATTTCATGATATATTTCGTTCACTAATTAACTTACTACCACAATAATTATAGGTCAAAACTATATTATTAAGTGATAATGTGTTATTTTTAATAATAATTCTTATATTTTAATTAATAATAAATAACGTGCAATTTTTTATAAAATCATGCAAGCTGTTAATAATTAAAGATGATGGATATTTTTTTATAAGGTTATAGAGGTATTGGAAAAACTTTTACGTGAAAAACTCCATTAGAAAAAAATTGTATTTATTGTTGCTTCGAATTGGATAGCTTCGTTATTATTGTTAGATGGAAGAAAATCACACTGGAAGTTTAAAATTCGTGTGCTAACACTTGAAAACTCTACTTGCAACATTGAAAAAATAGTGAACATTCAGAGTTATTAGTACTAACAGATTTGATGATATGAGATGAAGCACATATATATGTCTTATAAAAAACTACTACGAGGCTTTAGATAAAAACGCTTAAAAGATATTATGAGCTCTTAAGGTCTTGAGAATATAATATTTAGTGGCAAATTACTAGTTTTTGGAGGAGATTTTAGACAAATTCTTCATGTTGTTCTAAGAGGAGGTTACTATGATATAGTCTATGCTTCAATTAGCTCGTTTGTTAACAATTTAAGCCGTTTTAGCGGATAAAATGAATTTCGAAATTTGATCAAACGCTGTATTTTTTCGAATTTTATATATATATATATATATATATATATATATATATATATATATATATATATATATATATATATATATATATATATATATATATATATATATATATATATATATATATATATATATATATATATATATATATATATATATATATATATATATATATATATATATATATATATATATATATATATATATATATATATATATATATATATATATATATATATATATATATATATATATATATATATATATATATATATATATATATATATATATATATATATATATATATATATATATATATTAATTTTTTTTTGTTAATCATTTTGAAGTATTCATTTTATTTTTTTCGAGAACTTTGATACCAGTCTAATTATTCATTTTTTACCATCTTATTTTTATTTTTTTTAGTTAATCAAAATTTTAATTCAGATTTCTTATTTTAAATATTTTATTTCATTTTTCATTTTTATATATCATTTTTTTTTCTTATTTTTTATAATATTTAAGTTTGTCTTTTATCCTTTTAATAACAACTTGTTTACTAAGTTTTAGAAGGCATTTTGTTTTGTAACTTATTTGGTTTTGCTAACACTGCACATACTGTCACCTACATAGAATGCATACAGAAGCTATACGATATATCTCTTTCTCCTCCGCATACGATATCCCATCATGACCTCTCTCTTTCATTTTATTTTACTTGTTTAAAGAAAAGCAAAACCTGTTAGGACACACTTTTAACAGTTCATTAACTAACTCCCTCATTCCATTTAGAAAAGACAAAAAGAAAGCAGTTTCATCTCTACTCATTTTCTCACGCATGATTCATAACCACACACTCTTACTTGTTTTCCCATATTAATATCATCTTCTTCTTCAAGAAGCTAAAAAATGATAAGCTTCTCACTTTCTTAAAAAACCCATTATCATTCATACACTAAGAATCCTCCTCAATTTTCTCATTCCAAGTACACATATATACAACACTTTACAACAACTTTTTTTTTCATACTTTCTCACAAAGTAACCTTTCTTCTTCACCATTACGGCAAAAACGTAGCTCCTTCTGCGAAGCCTTATCCGTATTAGAATATTAATAGTAATTCATATTTATTTAGTTGTACTATTTTCTTAGCCCCTAAGTTTGTTAGAGGGTATTTTAGTATTTTATCTTATTCTAGTAACCCTAGTTTTAGCTTATAAATAGAGTGACAATCATTGTAACTTTTATCATGTTTTGTAGCCGTTATTCTTAATAGAATATTTCCTTTGTTCATCATTTATTCACCTTTGCACCAACAATTGGTATTTAGAGCTCCGGTTCGGATTCATTGGGAAACACGGGAAACACGAGTGAACGTGAGGTCTTGTGTGTTTGATTTTGATTCTTAGATTCGTGTTGAATCTTGAACAAAATCTGATCAGAATTTTATTCTGTGGGTTGGGAAACACTGTGTGAGAAATCTGAGTGTATTGTGCAAGGTAGAAGATGAACGGAAACGGCAACATGAACACCAAACTTCCAGTATTTGATGGTAAAAACTGGAATCGTTGGATGATCCAAATGCGTGTACTGTTTGGTGCTCAAGATGTTTTAGAACTTGTCACTGATGGTTATGTTCCGGTAGCAGCAGATGCAACGGATGAACAGAAAAACGCGCAGAAGGAAGTAAGGAAGAAGGATCAGAACGCATTATTCTTTATTCATCAATGTGTTGATGTAAATGTGTTTGAGAAGATTGCAAATTCAACGACAGCAAAGGCTGCGTGGGGCACACTGGTTAGATGTTATGGTGGTGACGCATCAGTGAAGAAGGTGAAGCTTCAGTCCTTGAGAAAGCAATATGAGAATCTCAACATGAAGAATAATGAGAAAGTTTCTGAATACATCTCCAAAGTGATTCTGATCACTAATGAGATGAAGGCGTGTGGAGAAACTCTTTCTGAAGAAACAATCATAAAGAAGGTATTGAGATCTCTTACCTCTCAATTTGATTACATTGTGGTAGCAATAGAACATTCCAAAGATCTGAGTACCATGAGAATTGAAGAGCTGCAGAGCAGTGTAGAAGCGCAAGAGTTGCGTTTGACTGAGAGAACTTCTGAAAGGGAAGTAGAGCAGCAGGCTCTGAAAGCAACTTCTGATAGGAGGTATCAGAAGCAGTCAGAAGCCAAGAGAAGATCTGATGGTGGTCAGAAGTCAGAAAGCTCAATCTCTGATAGGCAAAAGAATGCTCAGAAGGGAAAAGAGAAGTATGACAAGAAGAAGATCCAATGTTACTGTTGTAAGAAGTTTAG